CGGGAGCAGAGTGTAAAGACAAAGAGAACACTTTTTAAAAAATATTTAATACAAATAAAAAAACCAAATTTCTATGTCTCTGATACCAAAATAGAAAATTTTGGAAACTGCGGTCAAATTGGCAAATACTTGATAATATGGTTCACCCTTTACGAATTAAAAAATATTCAAAAGTTAGGTCAATATGATCACATTTTATCGGTAGTATGGATTAAAATTAGAGCATCTCCTTCCAATGGTTAATATTTTATAAGTTTTTTTTAAAAATTAATTTATCGTTTGTCTATATTAAATATTTTATAAAAATCCTATCGTATAATTTATAATTTTTTTAATAATATGTCATATTTATAGAATAAAACATTGCTTGACATTAAAATATGACTGAATAAAAATAACTACGTAGGGCTTTTTTTCTTAACATATAAAATATAACTAAATAAACATATCTAGAATAAAACATTACTTGACATTAAAATATAACTGAATAATTTATAATTTTTTTTAATCATATGTCATATTTATAGAATAAAACATTACTTGACATTAAAATATAACTGAATAAACATATCTAGATTTTGAAACGCAAAAGAGCCGAAGTGCCATCAAGTCCCTTCAAGTTAAAATGCTCATGATATTCTTTCACCGTTATGCTTCTATATTTCGCAGGATTCTCTTCAGAAATCAACTCTTTAATCGGCTCACACACCATCGATGTCTCAAGGCTTCCAGCCGTAAAGAACGATGCTACTGACACTCTTGGGCCAATTTTATTTGCCAAAACTCTATGGTGTGCACTAAAAACTTATCGTTTGAAATTAACTGTAAAAGATCTCCAACGTTTACTACAAGAGCTTTAGGGTTAGGTGGAATATCGATCCAATGGTTTTGATGTAGGACTTGAAGTCCCCCAATTTGGTCTTGTAGAAGAATTGTGATGAAAGTATTGTCGTTATGCGTGTTGGTGCCGATTGCTAACTCAGGTTGCGGGCATGGAGGGTAGAAATGTCCGAGAACTACGAGTCCTTTAGCGCAACCCAATTTGATGAGGTGATCTACGTTGAGCTGAAGAGCTTCAGATATTAATTTTAATAAATGAATTCCGAGTTCCATTACTTGTTTTGAGTACTCCATCAAAATATCTCTACAAGAACATTAATTTTTTTAGAAAAACCATCTAACATTAATCATATTTGATGTCATTTTAAGAATTTTTGGAAAGGCTCTTATATTTTCAGTATTTTACCTAAAAAATCATTTTAGAAAAACCATCTAACATGAATTCATTACTTGTTTTGAGTATTCCATCAAAATATCTCTATAACATTAATTTTTTTAGAAAAACCTTCTAACATGAATCATATTCGGTGTCATTTTGAGAATTTTTCAAAAGACTTAATTTTCAGTACTTTACCTGAAAAATCATTATATATTTTTTCCCAATTTTTCTTTTAACTAAGTATTTGATCTGTAGACACATACACTTACATGGACACATTCTAGTGATCTAGTCCCATAAGATAAAAGTCAAGTCTGCAGAACACTCCAAAATGGCCCATTATCCATTCAAAAACAGCCCAATTAGTCAAAAAATAAGCATTTGTAAACGGCTAACCATTCTAATTCTATTTCTAATAGATTAATAAAAACTTAAATGAAAAGAAAATTATCCAAAAAAAAATTAAAACTATTGGTGGTTTTTCAGAAAAAAAAAACCCAAAATGTAAGGGTTTTCTTATTATATATATATATATATATAATATATATATATATATATATATAAAATTCAAAATGCCTTTTTTTTGTAAAATTTATGATAGTCACTTTGATTACAGTTTAACGAAAATAATGACTATATGGGTATAACAATTTGACAATTTATGTATTTTTGTTACCCTTCTTTTATCCATAGCTACGTACGAATATACTCTCTTTTTGTAATTTAATAGAGTTAAAAGGAAATTCATATAACTTTTTCATAGAACATCTTACACATATACACTTAATGCTGGCAAATATGTATCACAGAAAACCAACATGTTACCAACCGAACCAAGAATATCGTTAACCAATATGTTTGGTTGACAGTAGGGTGAGCAAAAACCGAATCGAAAACCGAAAAACCGGAAAATAACCGAAAAACCGAAACCGAACATAAAACCGACGGTGCAGTTTTAAATTTTTAAAAAACTGCAAATTTCGGTGCGGTTCGGTTTTAATCCGTATAACCGCACCAAAAAAAACCGAAATAACCGCAATATTTATTTATTATATATATTGAATTTATTTGGTTAGCGTAGTGGCATAATATGATCTTAGATATAGACTATTTTGAAATAAAGTTTACCAACCAATTTGAATGTCCAGAAAACTAAGAATTTAGAATTAACTAAATTTTAGAATATTTTAGTTACTAATTAAATCCGCAAAGAAATGGTAAGAATATTAGAATAATGAGAGAATGTATTTCCATCCCACCAACCGTACTAATATGTATGTATGCTCGAAATTTAAATAAGCATAAACCAATCAATAATAATCTAACAGTCTTGGCATGGGTTCCTTAGTTGCTTTGCTCCTTTCTTCTACAACCTGTAGCATACCGACCCAACATCCTATCTTTCGATGGTCTCAATTTTAAACTCACAGCTTGATAATAGCCCAGATTCACTATACAATTTTATATCGTAAGTCATAACATAACGCTCAATTTCAGCAATGGTTTTAATATTTTAAGCTTTTGGCATCTAATGACCTTAATTATACTTATATATATAATTAGCATTATAGTAAATTATGTAAAGTAGGTAGGGGTGAGCAAAAACCAAACCGAAAACCAAAAAATCACACCACCTCATTTTGCGGTTAAAAACCGAAACCGCACCGAAATAACAGCAAAACCGCAAGAGTAACCGCAAAACCGCACCGAAACAAAACCGCAATTTTCGGTTTTTCACTATAAATAACAGCAACTTGCGGTTGCGGTTTGGTCCGAAAACCACACCGAACCGCACAATGTTCACCCCTAGTTGGCAGTACCATACCACTAATTCAATATATATATATATATATAATATATATATATATTATATATATATATATATATATATATATATATATATATATATATATATATATATATATATATAAAAACGTATATTTAAAATTTTAGTATGTTTGGTGCTTATGATTTACAAGCTTTGATATTAACATTTAGTGAATTAGTAAAGTTTAAAGTTTTAAACTTATATTGACGTGTTTAATATTCCTCCACCGTTTTAATTTATAAACCGATGATAGAAATAAATAAAATCATTTTGGAATTAATTTTCAATCTCATTCATTAGAAAACTCCTATTCACAAAACCCCCCATTAAAGTTTCACAATTATCAAGTACACGAATATTGTCACTCACAAAACCCCCATACATGTTGGTATATACGATTACCAACATGTACCAACCAAACTTATTGGTAGTCAAACAAATTGTTACTAATTATACTTGGTACGGTAGTTGTAGAACTTTTTTGTACAAACTATAATTGATACAGTACACGGTTTAGTTAAAAAAATGAATTGGTACCTATCAATTCCAGCCCTAAATTACACTACTATTCAACTTATAAATTCACACATTTTGTCCATGGTAAGACCTGACCTTATGACCTTATTTTTATTTAACCAAAAAAACGTCTTTTAATAAAATAATTGAGTAAATTGCACGAATGACCTGGTTTAACGTAATCTACATGACTCAAGACTCATCTTTAACTTTTTTTTTTTTAACTTATCAGTCCTCAAGTTTTAATCATATTACATGTTTGATCTCATGTTAACATTTCATCCTTTTTCACCATTTAAACCCCTCACATGTCTTGCATGCAGGGGTGCTTTTGTCCTTTCTAGATAGACCATACTGCCGATACATTCTCGGCTCATGACATTGACAACATGATGGATGAACTTGGGTATGTAGAGTGGTGGATCCTAAGAGGGGCTACAAGGAGTCAATGGTCTCCCCGATTTTCAAGTTTCTAACACTTTTATATATATAGTTTTATATATAAAAAGTCTAACGTTTAGTCAATTTCTTAATTAGCCCACCCCCACACCCCTTTGCTTTTGAGCTTGCTTTTACATGTAATGTAGCTTAAAAATGCAATTAACCAATAATCTGAAACAAACATTCAAAAATTTCTTATTAAATAAATAAATAAAAACTTATAGTATTTATAAAATCAAAAGAAACTGCATGGTATTACAGACCTAATTAAATGTATTCTTATCTGAAGATTTAAGTTTAAAAACCAATAAGACCCAAGAAAGTTCTTTGCCAGAAAGATGAAAACGTCCACATTTCACCGAAAATAACACCGACGCCCAACTGCATCTTTTCCATCGGTCTCCGTCGCTACTCGACAGACTGTCACTTCTCCGTCGCCAGACTCTCGCTTCTCCGTTGCCGCCTCTCGCTTCTCAGTTTCCCGATACTTTTCTCTGTTGGCTACCAATATCCACCTCTCCCACTCCGATCTCCTCTCCACAGGAGCAATATCTACTACTGATAACTTTTTTCTCTCTTTATCTCTTACTTTCTCTTTCTTTCTTTCTATCACAATATGATATACCGGCTAGACTCTAAAAGGCTGACAAGTCTTACATATTAATTCATAACATTTTAGTTTTAATTTGTTACTCCTTGTTTTTACATTGTTAGGCTGCAGAGAGTGGCTCGCTAGCCCCCTCGCCATGACCTCGCCATCATTCCTTTTCCAGGCGCTAAGCCCCTCGCCTCTTCCATGCTCGCTAGTAGCTTGACAACAGGAAAGAGAAAAAGGAGAAGAGAATAAGGGCTATGATTGGTCCTTTTTTTTTAAATCAAGTATTTTAATTGCTTCTTTTTCAGCTTTTTTCCCCTAAAATCCAAGTGTATATGTTTTTAAGATAAAAACTTATGTGGAAGGTAAAATTATGATGTGGCAATATGTTTAGCATGTGTTAGACATGCTACCACTCCCTATAGCCTTATTAGAAATATATAAAAACAATAAAAACCCTAAAAACCTATTTATAATAGAAATAATTAAAGCTATAATATGTTATTCATTTAGGTTCAATATCATACTATGTGCGAGTAATATCCTCTCTAATAAATGAATGTCTTTTTGCCACTTGTCACATTTTCATTAAATTTGTCAAATGTAATTTTATGGTTATTTTGAATTGATTTTTTTTCCACAAGTCATTTTTATGAGTTTTTCTATTTTATTAAATTACACATAATATTTTAATATAATAATTACAATAAATGTAGTAATAAATTGATACCAATTTTATTAATTAACTTACCTTTTAATTTTCAAATTCTCAAAATTAAAGCTCATTTTTTTATTCTATTTATCTAAATTATTTGTTTAAATTAAAAAGATAAAAAAACATTTCCATTATAATAATTTATTATTTTTCTTATTTTTTTATAAATTCAAAGTTCTCGAATTTAACATTATATATATATATATATATATATATATATATATATATATATATATATAAGTTAACCCATATGAGTCTCACAACTAGTTACTTTATATAAAAGGTTACTTGTTTTTGAGAATATATATTTTATTGTTATTTTATTTTATTATTTATTAATTGTTAGTTAAATTCGTTTTGTAGTATATATCATCATACAAACATAATTAACAAATTCCACTTTGAAATGCGATTTAATAATATTCGTAATTAGTTTTTTTTTTAAACTTTGATGTTGAACCATTTATTTTTCTTTTAATTTTTTTTATATGCTTTTGTTTTGAACTTTTAATTCCGGCCCCCACTTACATTGTTTGTGTTCCACCCCTTGGTATGTAGGTGAAGATAATCTACTATGTTATCATTTTCTTAAATCATTTAACGATTTGGATTTTGGGATGTTTCCTTGGGTTGTGACCCAGATGTTCGACATTTCGGTACATTTATTTCTAAACATAAACGAATATCGGTATATACTGAGCATGGGAAAACCGACTTGCATACATACTTAATGTCCTGCACCCAATCTAATGTACAATAGTTGAAATTGAATAGCCTCCAAAATGTTCAAAAAAATTAA